TCCTCGAACGGCACGGCCAGCCATGTGGGATCCAGCTACCTTAACAACCTAGGTCACCAGCTGGCCTGTACTATGCACGATTTTTAAAAAATAATTATTTTATTTAATTTTATTTATTTATTTTCATTTGAGCAGAGAGGGACAGAGAGAGAGAGTGAGAGCGAGAGAAAGTGAGAAACCAAGCCGCCATGTCTGGCACTCCAACTGTAGTCGGCCATATGGGAGCCCAGTGTCCTCAACCAGCGTGCCACCTGTCAGCCCCTCTATGCAAGATTTTTGTCATTTCTTTTTGTCTTTTTTTTTTTTTAAGAGAGATTTTCACAGTAGGGCATGTGTGCTTGCTGGAGAGACAGAGAGACAGAAAGCAAATATCACCCCCCAGGGAGATCACCCCCCAGGGGGGATGGCCACGCCGCAATCCCTTCTCCTCCATTCTCCTCTTGGGATCTTGGGCACGCACGCACACGCGCCCGGCATAAATTTAAGCAAATATCACCCCCCAGGGTGGGTGGCCATGCTGCAATCCCTTCTCCTCCATTCTCCTCTCGGGATCTTGGGCATAAATGCACACATGCCTGGCGTGAGTTTCAATCTACCGGGTTCGGGACTTGAACCACGTTTGGCTGCATGGGAGTCCAGCGACGTCACCATGATGCCATCTTCTGGTCCCTGGGTGTGACGTTTGCCTGCTGCCTCGCCCTGCCAGGTCTGCGCCCGAGCGACTGCAGTTCACGCGAGGTCTGCAGGAGGTCTGGAGCGTCCACGGGAGGAGCGTGCTGACCGCCTTTGACCTGTCTCCGTTCCCCGTCGTCTGTGACCTGGGTGGTGAGTGCACCCCGAGACCGTGGCTCTGGGAGCCACTCTCCCTGCAGGGGACAGTGTGAACAATGGCATGCATCTTTCATTTTCATTTCTACTCTGTGCTTCCAATGTTCCGGAGGGACTGGACGATCCCCACACACGGCACATGACGGACACTCCCACAGCCATTTCTCACGTTGAGCTAATCCAGAACCCACCTCCCGGGGATGGCCACGCCGCCATGCCTTCTCCTCCATTCTCCTCCTGGAATCTTGGGCACGCACGCACACACGCCTGGTGTGAGTTTAAGCTGCCGGGTCTGGGACTCGAACAGTGGTCAACTACCTGGCCGTCCAGTGGTGTAACCGTGACACCACCTGCTGGCCCCAGGTGGCCCTCCACGTGGGAACTGCCCCTTTTTCTTGGAACTGTGAATACCAAACCACCTTGTTAACGACTGTCGTCTTCGGATCTGTTGGCCGTATGGAACCTCCAGTTTCCTAAGGATTCCCAGTATCATTCATTCCTTCATTGCTTCATGCTATGGGGCGCATGCGCTTGCAGAGAGACGGGGGGAGGTGAGAAAGCTCCCTGGGAGGGTGCTCACGTGAACTCCCTTCTCCTCCCTCTCCCTCCTTGGTAGATTTTTGGGCACGCACCCTCACGTGCCTGGCGTTTCTCAAGCAGCCGGAGCCGGGACTTAACCCATGCAATTGGCCATGTGGGGTCCCATGCCTTGACCCACCATGTCACTGGCTGACCCTTCCTTTGTTTTTCAGTGCAAGGGAGTAAGTGAACTCACCCAAGAGAGACTGAGACAAGGAGACAAAGAGACAGAGCGAGAAACAGAGGGAAACATCCGTCAAGGGGACAGGGTCATCCCACACCCCTGACACGTGCATGTCTTCTCTTTTTTTTTTTTTAAGAATTATTTTATTTAACTTTATTTATTATTTTTTTCATTTTGATTTGACCAGAGAGGGACAAAGTGAGAGAGAGAGAGAGAAAGTGAGAAAGCAAGCCACCTAGTGTGGGGCTTGAACCATAGTCGGCCATGTGGGAATCCAACGCCCTTAACCACCAGGCCACTTGCCAGCCCCTTCTTTAATTTTTTTTTAAGAATTATTTTATTATTTAACTTAATTCATTTACTTCTTTAGATTCTAATTTGACCAGAGAGGGACAAAGTGAGAGAGTGAAAGAAAGTGAGAAAGGAAGCCCTCAAATCCGGGACTCAAACCACGGTCGGCCACGTAGAAGTCCAGTGCCCTTAACCGCCACGCCACCTGCTGGCCCCACAAGTTATGTCATCTAACACAAACTGGGGCCAGCAGGTGGCGTGGTGGTTAAGGAGCTGGACTCCCCTAGGGCTGGCTGTGGTTTGAGTTCTGGACCTGGCAGCTCACGTTCTCACGCTCTCTGTCTCTCTCTCTCTCTCGTGAGCACACATGCCATGGAGCAATTTAAAAATAATAATAGCGATGATAAATAAAATTAAGTAGATAATTCTTTAAAATTTTTTTAATTGAAAAAAGTAATTGATTAATTTAATTTAATTTCCTATTCTTCTTCTTTCTCATCCTCCTCCTCCTTCTTTTCATTTGTCCGGAGAGAGACAGAAAGACAAAGCAGAAAAGCAAGCCAGCAGGCCTGCGACTCAAATCACAGTAGAGAGACAAAGCAGAAAAGCAAGCCAGCAGGCCTGTGACTCCAATCACGGTAGAGCATGTGGGAGTCCAGCACCTTAACCACCACACCACCTGTCAGCCCCAGGAAATCATTCTTAAAAAGAATTTAAAACGATTGGGTTGATGGAAAAGTCATGGCATTATTTTGCATAGAAAAAAAAAATACATGGTGACTTTCTCGACAACCTACTAAAAACAGGATCCATGGCCTGGTGGTTAAGGGAGCTGAATCCCAATGGTCAACCGTGGTTTGAGTCCTGGACGTGGCAACTTGAACAACGTGCGAGGCAAGGGTGTGTTCCTGTGCATGTGTGCCTGGGATTCCAACAGACGGAGAAAGCCCTTCCCTGTGACATCCAGCCGCCTTCACCTTCGACCATGGGCTGGCCCTGAACACGCTAGGTTTTGGAACGGGAAGACGTGTGCTTTCATCCCACTGCTGCTCTGGTGGCTCCCAGATGGCTGACTGCACGGTTCTAGTCTTGGACCCGGCGACTTGAAAAACACACCGTGTGAGGGTGTGTGTGTGCCCAAAATCCCGAGGAGAAGGAAACGTGGCATGGCCACCCCACCCTGAGTACTTCTTCACTCTTCCTCACTCTCTCTGTCTCTCTCTGGTGAGTACACACACCCTCTGGCCAAATAAAAAAAAATATTAGTAATAAATAAAATTAAATAAATAATTCTTTTAAAAAAGTAAAAATACATGTTAAGGGGCCAGCAGGTGGTGTAGTGGTTAAGGTGCTGGACTCCCATATGACCCATAGCAGTTCTAGTCTTGGGAGGCTTAAAACTCATGCTGGGCACATGCACATGCGTGCTCAAAATCCTGAGAAGAAAACAGAAGAGAATGGATTGTGGCATGGCCATCTCCCAGAGGGTGATTTCTTGCTTTCTGTCTCTCCATCTCTCTCAGCCTCTCTGGCAAGCTCATGCATCCAATAGCAAAAATCTCTAAAAGTAAATTCTTAACAATAATGAAGAGAATCCATAAGTTCCTGGCCTGGACTTCCCAGAGGTTGATGTCACACAGAAGGTGCGTGACAGCTCATGACTTCCCCACCGAGTGTCCAATGCTCCATGTCTTCTTCCAGGCTCTTCCGGGGCTCTCGCTAAGGAGTGTACTGCCTTATACCCCGAGTGTACAGTCACCGTCTTTGACATCCCGGAAGTGGTGCAAATGGTCAAGGAACACTTCTCATTCCCAGAGGAAGGGCGGATTCATTTCCATGAAGGTAGGTTTCCATGGCTACATGTGTTCATGAGGAAACATAGACATGTTCCAGGACTCTCTGCAGGGCCTGGATGCTTACAGTGAACCATGAGCATTTGCACAGATGCTTGATCCTTTCTATTGGGTCTTCAGAAAAGTCATGACTCATTTTTGCAAAAGAAAAAACATAGAAAAATCTATCCTGGGGACCAGCAGGTGGCGTAATGATTATGTCTGTGGACTCTCATGTGGTCAACTGTAGTTTGAGTCCCAGATCTGGTGGCCTGAAATTTATACTGGGGGCATGTCTATGCGTAACCCAAATCCGAAGAAGAGAATGGAGGAGAAGGGATTGGAGTGTGCCCAGCCCCTCTGGGTGGTGACTTCTCACTTTCTATGTCTGTCTCTCTCTCTCTCTCCAGAGAGCACACACACCCTCTAGCAAAAATCTCTCTAAAAAAAGAAGAAGAAGAAAAATATAGTCTGACTTTTCCAATGACCCAATAGTTCAAATTGTTCTTTTTTTTTTTTTAATTTTGTGATAGATGGAAAACTATCTATAGGTATACGGTTTTATTATAGTTTAATTCTTCCTTGTTAGTTGTACGGGGCTGCATATTGGTCACCCCTCCCCTATAATTCATTTCTATCTGGAACGTGTCATTGTGACCTTATTTGGAAACAAGGTCTTAGCAGATGTAATGAAGTCAAATGAGATTGCTCTGGATTAGGGTGGACCAGAAGACTCATGAAGACTGGTTTATGGGACCAGCAGATGGCACAACGATTGCCTCGCTGAACTCCCATATGGCCGACTGTGGTTTGATCCCTAGACCCAATGACGTGAAATTCACACTGGATGCATGTGCGTGGGTGCCCAAAATCCTGAGAGGAGCATGGAGGAGAAGGGATTGCCCCAGGGGGGGATTCCTTGCTTTTTGTCTCTTTGTGTCTCTGGTGAGCTCATGTTTACCCTATAGCAAAAAAAAAAAAAATCTCTCCTCAAAAAAATTAATAAATAAAAACAAGACTAGTACTTACAAGAAAAAGGAAATTTGGACATGGGGACATAGACATACAAGGAAAAATTTCATGGAAAGACAGGGGTTAGAGACTGGAGTGATGTGGCCACAAGCCAAGCGATGTTTGGAGCCCCCGGGAGCTGGGAGAGGCAGGAGAGAGACTCCCTTGGGACTTCCAGAAGGAGCACAGCCCTGCCACACCTGGGCCTCTGAGTTCTGCTCTCCAGATCTGAGAAAGCATACATTTTTGTTTTTTGTAATCCATCTACTTTTCAGTTTTATTTTGTCTTGTTTTATCTTTATTTATTTTTTAATTTATTTTTTACCCTAGGGCATATATACTCACCAGAGAGAGACAGAGAGAGGGAAAATGAGAACTCCCCCTCCCGCCAGGGGATGGTCATATTGCAGTCCCTTCTCCTCTAGTCTCATCTCGACATTTTAGGCATGCACATATGTGCACCTGGAGTGTTGTTCAGGTCGCCGGGTGCAGGACTCAAACCATGGTCGGCCATGTGGAATCCAGCGCCTTACCCACCATGCCATCTGCTGACCCCACCACCCAGTTTTTATCCCATGCAGGTATCTAAACCTGAAGCATTTATGAATGACGCATTTACTAATGACAACAAATGAAGGGGTTGAAGGGAACGTCAGGGAATAATCAATATCTCAGAAGATGAAGGAGAATCTCGTGGCCTTCCAAAGGTCAGAGCCACCAACACTTGAGCAGAGCGCTGGAATGGGCTTTCCTCTTGTCTTTCCAAACATTGATTGTCCTCACTCTGTGCATAAAACTTAAGGGGTCCAAAAGCTTGGTCACAAGAATAAATTATATTTCAATGCAATTTTTTTGATCACTAGAAGGTGTATACGAGAGAGAGAGAGAGAGAGAGAGAGAGAGAGAGAGAGGAAGTAAAAAAGAGAGAGAAAAGGACCTTTCTCTGGGGCATGAGTATTGCACAATTCTTTCTCTATTTCTCCATCCTGTCAGGATTTGGGGCATGCACACACTTGTGTTTTTCAAGCCTTTGGGATTTGAACCTTAACCAACCATGTCAGATCCAGTTCCCAATGTATAGTGTTCAATCATTGAGCTACAGGGCTGGCCCAGTGCAATTTTTTAAAAAAAACTTTATTTATTATTTTTATTATTTTGCAATTTGGTCAGAGAGAGACAGAAAGAGAGAGAGAGAGAGCCACCAGGTCCGGGACTTGAGCCATGATCGACCATGTGGGAGTCCAGCAACTTTAACCACCACGCCACCTTCCAGTTCCCCAATACAATTTTTATAAAAAATCAGAATTAAGGGACCAGCAGATAGCATAACGGTTACTTTGCTGATTCCCACATGGCCAACCATGGTTCGAGTCCCGGACCTGACTATTTAAAACTCATGCCGGGCACGTGTGTGTGTGGGTGTGCCCAAGATCTTGAGAGGAGAAAGGAGGAGAAGGGCTTCTAGCATGGCAACCACCCAGGGGGTGATTTCTTATTTTATGTGTTGACTACATTTCAAGTCCCGGACCTAGTGGCTTGTTTTCTCACGTTCCCTCTCTCCACTCTCTCTGTCTCTCTCTGGTCAAACTGAAAAATAACAATAATAAATAAAATTCACAAAAAAGGGTTCAAAATCTTATTCACTATAAATGATAGCCTTCATTTAAAAAATAAAGATTTTTCTGTCTTCACACTGAGCCTTCCTGCCTTTCGGAAGGTCTGTGGGTCACTGGTAGAGAGAGCCGGAGAAGGTCTGGCTCTTCCAGGTAACCTTTCACACCGGGGTCAGTTTTACTCAAATGACGTGAGGGGCATCTGGACTGTTACAGGGGATTTCTTCAAAGACCGTCTTCCAGAGGCGAATCTGTTCATCCTGGCCAGGATCCTGCATGACTGGTCGGATGAAAAGTGCTCCCACCTGCTGCAGAGGGTCTACCACAGCTGCACGCCAGGTAGGTTTTCGGGCTGCAGCTCGGCAAGGTAGTGACGGATTTCAGTGCAGGACGGTGAATCTGACTTCACGTCCAGGTAAGTGCAGATAGCCTCCCAATGGGCTGTGTCCAGACAAGTAATTTATTTTTAAGAGAGATTTTTGCTATAGAGCATGTGCACTTGCTGGAAAGACAGAGAGAGACAGAAAGAGAGAAATCACTCCCAGGGAGGATGGCCACACCACAATCCCTTCTCCTTCATTCTCCTCTCAGGACCTTGGGCATGCATGCACACACACCTGGTGTGAGCTTCAAACTTCCCTGGGTTTGGGACTTGAACTGTGGTTGGCCATGGGAGAGTCCAGTGACATAAGCATTATGCCATGATGCAGGTCTCCAGATAAGTCATTTTGCAAAAAAAAAAAAAGGGTAGTATTGGGTTGTCGGAAAAGTCATGATGTATTTGTCTATGTTTTCTGTGCAAACATGTGTCATGACTATTCTGACAACCTAACCATTTCCATTATGTAACTAAGACTCTTTGGAGACAGGCCAAGTCAAAATTAACCGGGAGCTTCAGCGGCTTCACCAAATTATTTTATCCTTGAGGTGGCTTCTGAGTGATAGACAGCACCCTGCTATACTCCAAGGTCCATCCATCCCGATGGTTCATGGATGTGGCCCAGCCCGTGTGAGATGGGACAGGCCCTCACCTCCCTCCTTTCCCTGTCTAGGAGGTGGGATCCTGGTGGTCGAAAGCCTTTTGGATGAAGACAGACGGGGTCCCCTGACCACGCTGCTCTACTCCCTGAATATGCTCGTGCAGACGGAGGGCCAGGAGAGGACCGCGAGCGAGTACTGCTCACTCATCTCTTCGGCTGGCTTCGTAGACTTCCAGTTTAAGAAAACGGGGCACACTTATGACGCCATCTTAGCCAGAAAGTAACTGCGTCATGCGTCTGGCTATTGTCTACCTACCTACTATCTCATCCATCTGTGTTGTAATTTTCTTCTATTATATCGCTCTGTAGCATCTATCAATATCCATCTATGTATCATCTATATCTATCATTTCTTTCTGTCATGTATCACTGTATAATCTATCAATATGGGGGCCAGCAGGTGGCGTGTTAGTTAAATCGCTGGACTCCCACATGGCTGACCATGGTTTGAGTCCCGGACCTGGCAGCTTGCTTTCTCACTTTCTTTCTCTCTGTCTCTCTCTGGTCAACTTAAAAAAAAAAAATACAATGAATAAAATAAAATAAAATAAAATAATCCTCAAAAAAATCTATCAATAAGTATCTATGTCATTATCCATTTTTATCTCTCATCCATGTCTTTCTCTATTCACCTATCATATCTATTGTTATCCCTACCTCATCTCTCTATATCTTTTGGATCGTTGGAAGAGTCATGGCACATTTTTGCATGGAAAAACATAGAATAAGAATCATGACTTTTCCGATGACCCGATAGAGTGATTCCATATCTGTACATGTAATTTCTTTCTATCGTGTCTATGTCTCTCTATCATGTATCAGTAGCTACTATGTATCTTTTGCTATCACTATCATTGGTTTCTATATACAGCTGCCTATCATGTATGTATATATCTGAACTAGGACTCATTATGTCTGTCATGTATGTCAGCTGACCACCACCTCTATCTATGTATATGTACATATTTTTCTATTATCTGAACCATCTCTCAGTATCTATCATTATCTGTCTCTATCATTGATACCTGCCTATATCTATCAAGTATATATTTTGTCTATCTTATCGATCCCTATCTACCTAGCTAGCATTATGTCATCTGCATATCATTTGTATCTATCTATTTATATAATTTCTTTTTCTTATCTCTGTCTCTCTATCACCTACCAATATCTGTGCATAGCATGTTCTATCTTTATCATTGATCTCTATGTCTACCGATTATCAATGTGTCTCATCTGTCTTATCTATCTCTATATATCTGACTGTTGTCTGTCTGTGCTGTCTATTATCTCTGTATTTCTGTCATCATCTCTTATCTCTGTATATCTATCATCTGTCTAATATATGTCTGTGTGTATGTATCTGTTATCTCTATGTATCTGTCATCTGCCTCGGCTGTGTGTTATCTCTATATAGCTATCATCCATCTTTATCTCTTATCTCTGTAGATCTCTCATCTGTCTGACCTATCTATCATCTATCTATCACCTATCTATCTCTATCTATCATCTGTGTATATCTCTCATGTGTCTCAACTATCTGTATCTATCATCTATGTCTATCTCTATCATCTATCTATATCTATCTATCTATCTATCTATCTATCTATCTATCTATCTATCTATCTATCTATCTATCTATCTATCTATCTATCTATCTATCTATCTATCTATCTATCTATCTATCTATCTATCTATCTATCTATCTATCTATCTATCTATCTATCTATCATCTATCTCTATCTATCAATCATCTATCTCTATCTATGTATCTATCATCTCTATCTACCTATATCTATCATCTATCTATCATCTCTGTATCTCTCATCTGTCTGTCTATGTATATGTATCTGTCATCTCTGTAGATCTCTCATCTGTCTGAACTATCTATCTATATCTGTATATCTATGTATCTCTATCTATCATCTATCTATCTATCTATCTATGTATCTATTATCTATCTATCTATCTATCTATCTATCTATCATCTATCTATCTACTTATCTCTCTCTCATTCTCTCTCTATCATACCTATCTCTATTATCTATCTATCTATCTATCTATCTATCTATCTATCTATCTATCATCTATCTATCTACTTATCTCTCTCTCATTCTCTATCATACCTATCTCTATTATCTATCTGTCTATCTATCTATCATCTATCTATCTATATCTATCTATCTATCTATCTATCTATCTATCTATCTATCTATATCATCTATCTATTCATCTATCTATCTATCTATCTATCTATCTATCTATCTATATCTATCTATCTATCTCTATCATCTATCGTCTTTGTAGATCTCTCATCTGTCTGACCTATCTATCTCTATCTATCTATCATTTATCTACCTATCTCTCTATCTCTCTCTCTCTATCTCTCTCTATCTTCTCTGTATATCTCTCATCTGTCTGGCCCATCATCTCTCTATCTGTTATCTCTATCTACCATCTGCCTTAGTTATCATCTGTCCTGTCTATCATCCGTCTCTTATCTCTGTAGATCTCTCATCTGTCTGAGTTATCTCTCCATTCTCTCTAAGCATCTTGATATACAGTGATTAAATGTATAAATAACTAGTAATAAAAACCTGTCGTCTCTCTGAGCTATCTAGCTATCACCTCTCTGTCTTGTCTCCCTCTCTCATCTCTTGAGCTCTCTGTTATCTCTGTATAGCTCCTATCTCATCTCTCTATCTATTTACATCTGTATCCCCCGTCTTGTCTTTCTAGTATCTCTGGATACCCGACTGCCATCTGTCTCAGCTGTTATCTCTACATGTCTCTCCACTCAGCTACCCTTCAGCTCTATCTATCTGTACGTGTAGTTTTTTTACATTTTTTTTAAAACTTTCTTTATTTATTTTTAAAATGTAGCCAGAGAGGTAGAGAGCAAGGGAGGGGAGTGAGAAAGCAAGCCGCCAGGTGTAAGACTCGAACCAGGGTCGGCCACGTGGGAGTCCAGCGCCCTGAACCACCATGCCATGTGCCTGCCGGCCCCTCTGTATGTGAAGTTCGTCTAGTATCCCCTCGCCCCTCTGTCCTGGACCAGCAGCGACCTATGTGGGTTATCTACCTGTCGACACCTGTACCAGTTCTGTCGTGGGCCGTGTGCCGCCCGCCCCCTCTGTATGTGAAGTTCGTCTAGTATCCCCTCGCCCCTCTGTCCTGGACCAGCAGCGACCTATGTGGGTTATCTACCTGTCTACACCTGTACCAGTTCTGTCGTGGGCCGTGTGAGCCCAGGAAGCCCTGGACGATACCTGGGGCCCTTTTTGTTGCCACCGTGGAGAAGGGACAGTGCTAGCCTCTTCCCCTTCATCGTCCTCAGCGCGGTGGCCTCGGGAGGGTCAGTGGCCCGGCCAGGAGGGGCGCTCCAGGGCTCAAACAATGCCCTTGTTTCTTCTGAGAATGCATTTGAGGACAGCCGGGAGCCTTGGGGGACCCTGTGGTTGCCACGGCGACGTCAGGACCAGTAGGGGACAGGCGGGAACCCCGTGAGCCGGTAGATGGCGCCGTGGGGTTACGGACAGCCCCGGTTCTGTGAGCCGTGAATGTCAGCCCACCCGACCTGCAGGGCACGGAGGCGCCCCGTGTCTGTGGGCCGCGTTCCACGTCAGGTCACGTTAGGATTTTCTCCAGGCCCTCGCTGTCTTCTCGTCCCTTTGCTCTGGGAAGGGCAAACCCGAATTCGGCACGGAAGGCTCCGTCCTGCTTGTCAGAAATAAGGGACGCGGGGCCTGTGCTGGGTGTGCTGATGACACGGGGCACACACGTGGCAGCACCCTGAACCCCCAGAACCCCCTGGACACACACCTCTGTCATCCAGGCTGCGTGAGGCTGGGCGTGGACAACGGGGGCGCTTGTCTTGTCTCTGTCTCTCTTGCAAGAAATCATTTTTCAAAATGAGACCAGCAGTTAGCATAATAGCTATGTTGCTGGACTCCCGCGTAGTCGACCACAGTTCGAGTCCCGGACCCGGTGGCTTAAACTCATGCCGTGCGCGTGTGCGTGCGTGCCCAAGATCCCGAGAGGAGAATGGAGGAGAAAGGATTGTGTCATGGCCATCCCCCCCGGGGGTGATTTCTTGCTTTCTGTCTCTGTCCCTCTCTGTCTGTCTGGCGAGCGCACGCGCCCTAGGGCAAAAACCTCTCCAAAAAATTATTTTATTTATTGCTATTTTTTAATTTGCTATAGGACACGTATGCTCACCAGAGAGAGACAGAGAGAGGGAAAGTGAGAAAGCAAGCTGCCAGGTTCGGGATTTGAATGGTGGTTGGCCACATGGGAGTCCAGCACCCTTAACCACGTCACCTGCTGGCTCCTTGAAGTCACCACGCCTGGCATGAGTTTTAAGCTGCCTGTGTAGGACTTGAACCACCATCGGCCATGTGAGAGTCCAGTGCCTTAACCACTGTGCTTCCTCTGGTCTCAAGTTTTTAATCTTTCTAACTTGCACAGTCTCAGTTGTTTCTATTTTCTATTGAAAACAAATTACACAGTCATAAAACAACTTTTTTTTTTAGGTTTTTGCTATAGGGAGTATGCATACTGTGGAGAGAAACAGAGACACAGAGACAGAGAGTGAGAAACGACCCCCCAGGGGGGATGGCCACACCGCAATCCCTTCTCCTCCCTTCTCCTGGGATCTTGGGCACGCACGCACACGCGCCCAGCATGATTTTCAAGTCCCTGGGTCCGGGACTCAAACTGTAGCCGGCCACATGGGAGTCTGGAGCTTTAACCTCCACGTCACCTGCTGGCCCCCAAACCCACTGTGCTTTTCCTCCTTGGCTGCTGAGCGGGCTGACACGTGGCCCGAGGCCCCTGAGCTGCCCACTTTCATGTTGCACATGTGCATCCTCCGCGTTCCGATGCGAAGACAAGGTTTTGACATGAAGCATCTAACGAGTGCGTCGCGCCCACGGAGACTGACAGGGCCCTGGGGCCGCGTCCCATCCCCGGCTGTGCCTTTGACACTGAGCCGCGGAGACGCCACGGAGGGCTCTGATTCATGTGTTCCATCTCCGCCGTGAGCGTGTGCCCGGCGGCTGGTTCTGCCAACACGGGGACGGGCCTGGAGCTGGCCGGGTGAGGACCACCGCGTGCTTTCTGGGACGGCTCTTTCCTCTGCTGCCCTGAGCGCACCACCCAGACTCGGGTCTGCCCACGGACGCTCAGATGCTGCCGTTCCTCCAGGCCCGTGCCCGTGCACACCCACTGTTGGCTGCAGCTTATTTCTTTATTACAGACGTGTGCTAGAGAGAAAGGTTTTGCTCTAGGGCACGTGCGCTCGCTGGAGAGACAGAGACAGAGAGACAGAAAGCGAGAAATCACCCCCCGGGGGGATGGCCATGCCGCAATCCCTTCTCCTCCATTCTCCTCTCGGGATCTTGGGCACGCACGCACACACACCCAGCGTGAGTTTAA